GCAGAAGTTACAATGATGCAGCACTTGTGCACTCATGTTACCGTATCCAATAATAGAAAACCTCACTTTAGTCTTTTCAAAGTGACCTGTTTTGGCTGTGTTTTAGTAGACTATTATTTTGTAAAATACAGTCACATTTCAATTATTATACATTATATATGTATATAGATTGTTGCTATTTTGAAATAAGTTCTTAAACTTATTTTTCTTAAAGCATAGAACAGTAAATAAAGTTATGACCTTTGTACTTGGTTGCTGCTTGCCATAAGTTGTTAAGCCTTTTAAAATTTTGCACATGGAGGATACGAAACAAAATATTAGTTTCTTAGGTTTTATATATACATTTTAATAACTAAAAAATCATAAATTACTATATTAATACCATAGAATTCCATTATAATTTATCAAGCTTAGTCACTAAGCTGAACTTCAGTCTATAAAAATATGAAATTTCGAGCAGACTAAGACACAACCTACTTCCTTGAAATCTGGGTTTGAAAGAGAGAGAGATGACATCCAAAGACATTAAAATGGCTGAGAGAGCCACTATGTGGACATTCTGAGCTTCCAATTGGTTATTTATGTCATATATAGAAGTAAATGTAAAATAAGGGAGCATTTCCAAAAATGGAAAGAGGTGGGTGGGGTGCAACTGTGTTTTATTTATTACATGAGCAATATCTTAGCAAATAGAAAAGATAAGAGGTTCTTATTTTATATTCTAGCCTGTCAATATTTGTAATTTCAGTTCCTAATTTGTATGAAAATATAGACTTAGTGTTTTGACATCACAAACATCTAATTGATGCTGCATTCAACATACCACATTACACACAAAAATTGATGTTTAACTGAGTAATTGAGTAATGTATAATACTAAAATTTGAATTATAATCTATAGTCTGATACCAAATTTGGTAACATAAATTCATGAAATAGTAGTTCAACCATGACTGTCTGGAAAGGGTTAATGGTTGCAAGTGGTCTCTGTAAAAATATAAATCTGAATCTTTATGTTGGTTGGCATGGTGATGTATGTTCAGCAGCTAATCAAGTACTAGTTAACCTTTTTCCTACTAGCAAGCTGAAATAACGTGTTCAGCAGCCAATCAAGTACTAGTTAACCTTGTTTTCCTATTAGCAAGCTGAAATAACGTGTTCAGCAGCCAATCAAGTACTAGTTAACTTGTTTTCCTATTAGCAAGCTGAAATAACATGTTCAGCAGCCAATCAAGTAATAGTTACCTTGTTTTCATATTAGCAAGCTGAAATAACATGTTCAGCAGCCAATCAAGTACAAGTTAACTTGTTTTCCTATTAGCAAGCTGAAATGACACGTTCGATAAATATTATTTTGTTCTGATTTTGATTACATGCTAGAAGAGTGAGAGAAAGACGTTAGACTTTATCTCTTGTTATTAAACTTGAGTTGAAGCATACTCAAGAGACTGTAAGTGATGAACATACAATATTTTGTAACTTTTTTAACTGATTTTTTTATAGACTCTTTAGTTTGCTTGAATTATAGCCCAAGTGTTACTGAACAATTTTTTTCAACTTTTAATACATTGTTTAAAGATTATAATAAAACATTTGATATTTAACTTTGGTGGAGTTCACCTTGGATGGATCTACCTTGTAGCAAATAAAACAGCTTGCATGTCGTAACTAACTATCTTCTTTAAAAACAAGTTAATCTTGGATGGATCTACCTTGTAGCAAATAAAATAGCTTGCATGTTGTTACTAACTATCTTCTTTAAAAACAAGTTAATCTTGGATGGATCTTCCTTGTAGCAAATACGGTTTATCAAATAAAACAGCTTGTATGTTGTAACTAACAATCTTCTTTAAAAACAATTTAATCATAGATGGATCTACCTTGTAGCAAATACAGTTTATCAAATAAAACAGCTTGTATGTCGTAACTAACAATCTTCTTTAAAAACAATTTAATCATAGATGGATCTTCCTTGTAGCAAATACAGTTTATCAAATAAAACAGCTTGTATCTCATAACTACACAAGTTGAGTTCCACCTAAGCATGCTTATTGACTGTTATGGTATTTAACTAACTTCCATTTGGCATGGTCCACACAGGCTATTGGAAAAAAATTGCAGGATTTTCTTCAGGAACAATCTGTCATTTTAAAGCCTAATTTACTGGTTTTACCAGAAAATTAACTTGTTTTTAAAGAAGATTAGTTAGTTACGACATACAAGCTGCTTTATTTGCTACAAGGTAGATCCATCCAAGGTTAACTTGTTTTCAAAGAAGATTGTTAGTTACGACATACAAGCTGTTTTATTTGCTACAAGGTAGATCCATCCAAGGTTAACTTGTTTTAAAGAAGATTGTTAGTTACGACATACAAGCTGTTTTATTTACTACAAGGTAGATCCATCCAAGGTTAACTTGTTTTTAAAGAAGATTGTATTTCTCATCATCACCTTATCATTCCACATTGAATGAAAGGTTGAGAAGGTTTTAGTTCCTGATGTAAAATTTCAAAGTGTTAATAATTATTTTTTAAAGTTTATATCTCTCATACGTAAAATGTGGATGAATAATACAATAATAAATAATTTTGAAGTTACAAATTGATCATAAAACTTATAAATTTTTTGTACGTACTTTTTTAATTTATGTTTTATGTGATCTCTAGGTTAAGTTTACAACAGATACCGTGTTTTCCTACTAGTAAAACAGTACCACAATTTACCTGACTGGTTTGTTATGGTCAAAATACATTTTTACTGAAGTAATTTTCAACCTTTTCTAAAATTAAAACTAAATCAAAACATGTATATATGTGTTAAAGGTTACTACATGGTGAAGTAAAACAGATTCAAAACCCCATAAATCAAAACATGTATATATGTGTTAAAGGTTACTACATGGTGAAGTAAAACAGATTCAAAACCCCATAGCTATAAATCAAAACTGTATATATGTGTTAAAGGTTACTACATGGTGAAGTAAAACAGATTCAAAACCAAAATCTCAGGTACATCAGTTATTTGTAAGAAATAAACTCGTCTCGGAAAGTAGAGTCTAGGAATGGACCACCATTTATATTAGATATATACCATATGTTTTCAGACAGGCTTATAAATCTTTTATTATAAACACCCAGTCTTTGAGCTAACAAGACAAAGTTTGGAGGATTGGGTGGGCTGTAGAAGGATGTGTCAGTTTCCGATATTGAAGTTGAAAAAAAAAGAATACTTTGATAAAGGGCCGATCTGTTGCCCTATACAAAAACACACTTTACTACCAAACAAACTTTTCTCTCAATGTTGTTTGGCCACCAAGATGCTAGGTTTAAGGGGTTTGCCAAGTTCCCCTTGAACAAAATAGTTAGAAGTGTTTATGCTGGAATAAACTTCAGATAGATACTTAGCTTTGTTGATCCTTCCTTAGCCATCTGTATTATTAAAACTAAAAAAAAATACAGAGAAAATGGCTATATAGAACTGAAGAACCAGTTCTTTTATTGCTCAATATATTCGGCCACTACCCTCTTTTGTGGGGGATTTAAGATGGGGGTATAGCTTTTACTCCCTCATAACCTGGAAACTAGTGCAAATTTGGCCGTGCTAGTATGCACTTCAGATACCAAATATTGCAAAGAAGTTTACTTCTATTCAGAATTTCAACCAAAAATGTCTCACAGACTGGATGTTAGGAATATGTAATTGTAACTTGTAAAAGACTGGAAGAATGAAGTAGAGACGGAGCAAATATGGAGACGGAGCAAGCACAAAAATGTGGAAAGAATGGTAATTTGCTAGTATGGACTATGTGATTGAAAACAGATTTTCTGATATCAGCGAAGATCTTTGTCCAATGTCATCTGTATCATAGCAATTTTGCAACAAAATTTATTAAAGTTGTTTTGTAATTGCTTTTTTTTAAATCATCATGGCTATTTTAAATAGGATATTTTCTTCTAAAACCTATTGCCATAAGATGTATTTCCTTACAAAGGGCTTTTTAATATTTAGTTTTCATTACAGGTGTTTGTGTCATCACCAAAAATTGAAGCCTTTCAGGTCGTGACTATTCGTACCTCTTTATGTCTCTTTCATCCCATATTCTGTAAAGCCATCAGCTCTAAGGCTTTTGGAAAGTCTACACCAGCACGAAAATTTTTGGAAAGAGTCCATCTCCACCAAGGCTTGTGGGAAGAGTCTGAGTGAGCTTCTTGGTTAGATTTTTTTTTGTGAGCAGCATCCTAAACCCTCAGCAACCAAGATGGGGAGTGTCAATGTAAATCGTAGTCTTTCAGACCAATTTTATCGTTATAAGATGCCAAAAATTATTGCCAAGGTAGGTTCACTAGTGTTGTATTTTTTATATTCCCTATTCCCAGATTTTATGCAGCTAATTAATAGAAATATCTATGAGAAGCATGTAAAACCTTTTTTTTCCCCTATTTATAATTGTGTTCTATTTGCTTATATAGATATCACTTAAAATTTGTAGTTGTGAATATTATAATCTTTTTAACCTTAGATCTTCTGTATTTCTTTTATGAAAAGAAGAAATGTGCCCACGTTGGTAACTTGATGTTGGTATAGACGTTTGTCAGTTTAAGTTCTGTGTTACCCCAGTGTTGAACCTGAAACACATCTAACAGTTTATTTAATTACCTATATTTGATACCAGGTTGATTTTTAGTTTTGATCTTGTTTAAAAGTTAACATTAATGTCAAATATAATAGCCAACGTAATTATCTATACTGAGTACTGGGTTGATTTTTAGTTTTGATCTTACTTAGAAGTTAATGTTAATGCCGTTGTACAATATGTAAAATTATCCAGAGATAAAAACTTTAAAGTAGATGTTTTTATTCAAGTTTTTGGTAACTGACCATACCTAATAGTCAGTTTTATTGTATAGAAAATTGTAAATCATTTTTGCAAGTATAAGTGATTAATAGAAAATTTATTGAAATCTTTGCTTGAGGTTGAATGTGCACTATTGGAATGGCTAGTTTTTTGCTTTGTTTCAATCAAGTATAACTATATTCTATACAGAACAGCATGTTTCACAAATAGAGCACTACTTAATGCATTGTGTGCAAGTAAGTCAAGGCTTTTAACAAAATCCACAAAAACAATCCATAGGTAGCTGAAAAAATTGACTGTTTATGATAGCATCCGATGAAACACTACTTCTGATTGGTCAGCACTCACATAAGCAACAAGTAAATTGCCACATTTAATGTGTTGATTTGTCAACTGCAGTACTTGATGTTTTGATCTACTACCAATTGCCTCTTTTAGATAAGAAGTTGTATCAGTAAAAAAAAACAATTCAAGGTGAAATGTAAATTTTGTTTTCTGTTATGATACCTTACTTCTATTCACATAATAGTTTCTCTTGATTAATACTACCCTCTTTATGCACAATTTTCACTCTTCATTTGCTTTGATACTCCCCCTATATCCATGTGTTGTGATGTGGTACCACTGTGCTGTAGCATGCAAATAGGCAGGTGTGAACCCCTCCACCAGTAGGAGTGTGACACAGCTTCCTAGCACATCTGACTTCATCTATGCTGTAGGACCCAATCTTGGCTGTGATGTTTCTAATTCCTTTTCCACACCACACGGTCTTTCTTTAGGCACTTTCTAAAGGAGGATCATTTTCTCACCAGCCCTCCACCACTTCAATGTGGGATTCTAGCTTTGTGTGAGAGGAGGTAAGATATTGTATCGAAAGGTAACATCCTAAACTGAAAATATTATTCTGAATAGATACTTACCTCCTCTCACATTTCCCACCCTTCCTCCCCACTTCCTGTCTATTGGTTGACTTGGTCGTGGCCAATTTATAAGTGATTAGCAGGTGCATTATTAGAGAATGTGCTAGTTATGACGGGTAATGGTTGCTGCATTATCATTTGCATGTAGATATGCAGAAAGAAGTGAGGGTTACAAGGTTAGTGGTGAGTGAAAAAATTTGTGCCAATAAAGGGCAGTACTAATTGAGAAAGTTTTTTGTGCATTTGGGAGAGGACAGCATGCACTGTCCCTCTGTGACTTCTGATACCTATGCTTTGGTATATCAACTTTAAGGAGGAATTGTTTCTGTTCTTCTTTATTTATTATGATAGCATTATACTCTTCAGTAAGGGCCACACCCATTTCAACATTGTTGTTTACCACATTCAATTGTTGAACTATCTGTAGTGCCTTCCTGTAGTCTTCTCTGAGCTACCATGACTTAGGGTCATAATCCAGAAATCCAGATGGAATTTTGAGGCACCTGAAGAAGTCTGTTGTGTTCTTTGTGGCAAAATCTTCAATTGACATGTCCTATGCTGGATGCACTTCAACAATGCCTTCCATCTCACTTAGTGCTTTTGCCATTGTTTATTTTGTCTCTGTGTATCAAAGAATAACAAACCAGTCAATTCCTTATTGAAATATTATAGATGTCCAGCAGATATTTGACAGGCAGATTTTGAAATAACATGGTAGACAGTTAAGAAAATTTTGAAGATCAGAAATTGGCATCAGGAGCAGTGAACCATGCCCTAATATAGACTCAAACAACAAAGATGTAGATATTGTGGAGTCCTCTTTCCTCATGGCCAGTGAGCTTAAACTGTCCCATAAACATTTAGTTCTTGAGGGCATGTAATACCTTGGGCATCCATCATGTATGATGTAGTGCTTAAGTGCTATAAGTCTCACTCCACGAGAAGGGATGCCACCAAGAAAGATTACGGCTTGTTCAAGAAGCATTTGATAATCATCTGTAGATTGGCTGACTTGAAGTTGTCATGTAAAAATTCTAGAAACTCTTGTCATCTCAGAAATAAAAAGTCACAGCATGGATTATTTATGTAAGGAATGTTCTTGAACATTCTGAATAATGTGTAATACTCTGAATATTTCAGAATAATCTAGAATATGGGGATATAATGTGAGCTGCAAGATAATATTTTAAACATAAAATGTTATTCAATATAGATAAAATTTGGTTTGAATTATTTATGTATTGGAACAAAGTAAGAGACGAGAGTGTTGTAAGTCAAAATTTCAAAAATAAGGACCATCCTAGTGTATATGTAACATTATGCATTATACTCTTAAACTGTACCAGTAAGTTGTATTTTGTAATATTAAAAATGCTTCAACTGTAGCCGACATGAACATGTCTGGTTACAATAAAATACTTTGTATATGACTCTGTTCAAAACTTGAAACATTACATTGTATATGTTTAAAGTATTTTAATAATGTCATTAAACTTATAGTTGTTTATGTGTATGTTTTTGATAGGTTGAAGGCAAAGGCAATGGCATCAAAACAGTAATTGTGAATATGGTGGAAATTGCCAAGGCTCTCAATAGACCCCCAACTTGTAAGTAGTAGAGAAAGAACAGAAGTGTAACCTAAAACCATAGCTTGCCACTGTTTTACATTTTGAAATATAATAGTAAATATAATATTTGTTATTCTGTTTCATTAACTTTTTAAATAAAAGCTTATGTTAAACAATTTTCATTTTCAGATCCTACAAAATATTTTGGATGTGAACTTGGGGCTCAAACTCAGTTTGATGTGAAGAATGAACGTTATATTGTTAATGGATCCCATGAAGCAGGAAAACTGCAAGATATCCTTGATGGCTTCATCCGTCGCTTTATTTTGTGCCCATCATGTGACAATCCAGAAACTATTCTGGTAAGTGTATTTGACATGGAATTATTTTTGTGTAAGCTGTAAACAGTTAGTGTTTGGTCTGTTTTAATATCTGTACTGCCAGGTTCCTTATCTTAAGCAGACCTTAGATCTGTTGGAAACATTTATCTCAAGTTGTCAGGCATGAGGTCCTAACTGTTGGGTCTTTTGAACTCATTTAGCTCCAAGTGTCAGGCATGAGATCCTAATTGTTGGGTCTGTTGAACTCGTTTAGCTCCAAGTGTCAGGCAAAGTGTCCAGATTATTGAGTCTGTTGGACAACTAATAACTTTTGGATTAAAGAATATAATCTACTGTAACGTGAAATGCTGTAATTAAGTAGTAGCCAAATTAACACTAAATGTATTTTTCTATTTGTGACATATTAATGTACTGTAAATTAAAATATGGTCAATATGTATTATGAGCTGTATTTGTAACTTTAAGTAGAACATTATTTAGTGTGTGAGCTATAAAAAACCATCCTTTGTTTGTTTGTTCTTAGCTATAATATAATTAGTGAGCTACAGATAGTTTCAAAACCATTCTTTCTGAAGATGGTCCTAGTTTGCTATGACATCTTCAGCATGTTATTAGTGAGCAGTAAATAGTATCACCTATGTCAGTAAAACCATCCACATACATATTAGATATAGACTTCTTTGTCACTGTCATTTGGTCAGTAGTTCTTGTAAAGAGGCTATTCGTAAGAGATAATCTGTAGGATTTGGCTGAAGCAGTTTCTTTGTAATGTTTTTAGCTCTTGTAGAGGGCCCGTGAAGAGTTATTTTCACTATATCCTATCAGCTTCAGCACATTGCTGTTTTGTGGTAACTGTTGCAGAGGGCCCGTGAAGAGTTATTTTCACTATTTCCTATCAGCTCAGCACATTGCTGTTTTGTGGTAGCTGTTGCAGAAGGCCTGTCACTGTATCCTATCAGCTTCAGCACATTGCTGTTTCGTGGTAGCTGTTGCAGAAGGCCTGTCACTGTATCCTATCAGCTTCAGCACATTGCTGTTTCGTGGTAGCTGTTGCAGAAGGCCTGTCACTGTATCCTATCAGCTTCAGCACATTGCTGTTTCATGGTAGCTGTGACTCATTATTCTTAATGTTTCCTTTGTATTCATTTTGTTTTTGGTGGTGGTTTTCTAAGTGGAATGTTTTATGTGGTGTGTTCATTTACCTTCTTAAATTGTAAGCCAAGTGTCATTCCTCTTGTTTATGTATATATATATTTCTTAGATTATTCTAACCCCGGTGGCTTTGCTTTAGCAGCATCTAAGGGTAACCTTTGTGTTTAGGGGTTTCAAATAGTGAGAAACATTTTGTATATCGTCATATAACTGGATAATTGACCTCCAGAGAGCAGTTATTGTGAGTCCAAGAAGTAAAAGTAACACTGGAATAAACAAAACATTCTAAACAAACAAACAAAGGAATAACAACTGCTCTCTGGAGGTCAATTATCCAGCTATATGACTGCTCTCTGGAGGTTAATTATCCAGCTATATGACTGCTCTCTGGAGGTTAATTATCCAGTTATATGACTGCTCTCTGGATATCAGTTATCCAGCTATATAACTGCACTTTGTAGGTTATTCATCAAGTTATATGACTGCTGTCTGCAAGCCACTTTCCAATCATATTATTTCTCTCTCTGCAGGTCACTTATCCAAGCCGTGGTTATCCTTTTATTGCCACCTACCCTTTGCTCTAAAGTCTAGATGTTAGTCTGATCCTTGAGTTAATGTGCCATTATTAGAAAGATGTTTGTTTCTCCATAAATGAGATTATAACTCAATGTGATGTCACGATATGTTGAATGAGAAATGTGAACTTGTTAGAGAAAACTATTGTGTGTTTAGAGGTTAGTATCTGTTTGAAATTTAATCCTAAAGATTTTAACTTTTAGAGAATGTGTATAAGATAACACAAGAAAAGAAAAAAAACATAAACAACAACATGTAAGTAGGAAGAAAGGCAATATGGGTCTGAATAAGGAATTGTTCAGGAACTATATTGGTTCAAATAAGGATGGTACAACAGAGACTGTTGTAAAGTAGAAAATTTAAAAGGAACAGTTCTAGATCTGTATGGAGATTAACAATAAATGTTTGACTGTAAGTTTAGCTACTGGTTAGGAAGATGTTACTGTCCAGGTAGGACAGCCATATGGATAAAACTTTCTTTCTCAGTCTGTATGTATAGACAGTATATGTATTAAATGTAACATATTTTTCAGGGTGTTCTTCAGAAGAAAGGTGTCATCACCCTTAAGTGTATTGCTTGTGGCTACAGTGGTACTTTGGATTCTGCACACAAGTTAACAACTTTCATTTTGAAGAACCCACCAAGCCAGGTAACTATGTATACACTGCCAGTTCTTATGATACAGAGCTAGGCCTTGGGCAGTGATTGTCACCAACTATCACTAATTATATGTGTGTGGTAACTCATTTCTGCTAATTCATTGCCAAGCTCCTTGCTTGCAGATGTGAACCTTTCTAAAATACAGTAGCCACTCTTAATCTCTTTAAAGCATACACCATATTCCATCTGCAAATAATTGCATACTTCTGACAATGATGATTCACCAGTAAATGTTTTCTTCCTAGCTTTATTAAGTGTGATTAGCTGATTATTTATTATTATAAAGGTAACTAAAATGTAAAATTAAGTGTCTCTTTAGGTTAGTTAAGGTTAGATCAGGGACAAAAGACTTGTAATGTTTACGAAGCATCTACCAAATTTTGTGAAGATATACATACTGCATTAAAAGTTATAGTATAAATATTTAATGTGTGCAAATGTGTATACGAACTCATAATATATTTTAACCCGAGCCCGTGGTGAAAGGGTTAATCAACATTTATCTCGTGAATTTTCCAACAAATCTAATTCAGTGCAAATGGATAAAAGATTGTAAAATTTACAGAACTTGCTTCATGCATTGATTAAGCTTGGTGTGATAAGTTGCAACAAAGTGTTTGATTATAAAGTTTAATTCCAGATCTAACAAGGCGTAATTTAACTTGAAATTAGTTAGTAGTTATAAGTTCTGGAAATTTACTTAACATATGATAAATGTAAATATGAACAAGTAGCCATGTAAAATATATTACTTTATCCTTTCTGTTTCTTATATTTTGTCCAGTAATGTGTGGGCCAAGCGTAACCTAGTGATCAGCATGCCAAACTGTGAATCCAAGGTCTTAAAAACATTCTCTTCACTTTCGTGCTATGGTACATTATAAAATGTCAATATTTGATTAGGGTAGCCAGAGCTTGTGATGGATGCTTTTGATTAGGTTCCTTCCCTAGATCTAGTCTGTCCATTCAAAATTAGGGACAGGTAGTGTAAATAGCCCTTGTGAAGCTTTGGATGATTTTCCAAAACAAAAGCAACCACTAAGGTGTGTATTCTAGAATATGCATCTTAGTTATAGCTTCTTATCAGCTTGCTGGACTTTGTTTTTTTACTAAGAAACAAAAATCCAACTTACTACACAAACCTAGTTTTATAAATCAAAGTAAACTGTTTTCTGTTGTTTGACCATAAGCTTATGAAGCAAATCTAAATAATTAGTTTTTACTATATGAATGTGCAAAAATGATCAACATATTAAATAAAAAATAAGACTTATTCTTTTAAAAGTGAGAATAATACTTATTTTAAGCTCCGTTTTGTGTGAATACATAGCCAACTTGGATTATGTAATTTTATATTAGATTATTAATCCTAAATAATGCTTATGTTTGTTTGCCCTTTTGATACATTTGAGCAGATAGTACGTAATGGCTTATTATATAGTATTGAGCAGATTGTACATAATGGCTTATTATATAGTATTGAGCAGATTGTACATAATGGCTTAGTATATAGCGTTGAGCAGATAGTACATAATGGCTTAGTATATAGTGTTGAGCAGATAGTACATAATGGCTTAGTATATAGTGTTGAGCAGATAGTACATAATAGCTTAGTTTATAGTGTTGAGCAGATAGTACATAATGGCTTAGTATATAGTGTTGAGCAGATAGTACATAATGGCTTAGTATATAGTGTTGAGCAGATAGTACATAATAGCTTAGTTTATAGTGTTGAGCAGATAGTACATAATGGCTTAGTATATAGTGTTGAGCAGATAGTACATAATGGCTTAGTATATAGTGTTGAGCAGATAGTACATAATGGCTTAGTATATAGTGTTGAGCAGATTGTACATAATGGCTTATTATATAGTATTGAGCAGATTGTACATAATGGCTTAGTATATAGCGTTGAGCAGATAGTACATAATGGCTTAGTATATAGTGTTGAGCAGATAGTACGTAATGGCTTATTATATAGTGTTGAGCATACATTACATAATAGCTTAGTTTATAGTATTGAGCAGATAGTACATAATGGCTTAGTATATAGTGTTGAGCAGATAGTACATAATGGCTTAGTATATAGTGTTGAGCAGATAGTACGTAATGGCTTATTATATAGTGTTGAGCAGATAGTACGTAATGGCTTATTATATAGTGTTGAGCAGATAGTACGTAATGGCTTATTATATAGTGTTGAGCAGATAGTACATAATGGCTTAGTATATAGTATTGAGCAGATAGTACGTAACGACTTATTATATAGTATTGAGCAGATAGTACGTAACAGCTTATTATATAGTATTGAGCAGTTAGTACATAATGGCTTAGTATATAGTATTGAGCAGATATGATAGATAGTAAATCAGTAGCCTTATTCTTAAGTATATTACATATAAAAATGACCAGGGTACTCTGGAAATAATTTATTTAATTGAACCAAAGTTCTAGCTTTAGGGCTTCTTCATGGTAGAACAGATTGTTGTAATAAGTTAGGTTAAATTATGAGGTAACGTTCTATTTCGCATGTCATTATTTTTAGATCCTATCCAATGCTGTATAGGCCTAAAATTCAGAAGCATAATTTTTTCAAACTATAGGCTTAGCATTCCGTTTTCTTTACATTATTGGTTTGCTTGGGAATTTAAGCACATAATATAGAATGTAATTACTGAGCATTATAATTATTATAGAATTGAAGAAGAAACAACAACACAGACAATTGTATGTTTTCGTGAAATGTACAATTGTGTTTGTTCTTTTTTCTTTAATTCTGTAATTGAGTTTCACCAAGTGCTGACAGTTTCAAGTATCAATTATATGTATGTTGTTATCATTTATTTTATCACTGCTCAGCCTTGAGTGTATAATTCACAACGTACACATGTAATTTGTTACTGATAAGTATATTATCATTCATCTGGAGTGATAAATTGTTATTAATATTTTTTTAAATTTCCTGGATTATTATTACTCTTAAAACAGCTAGGCCTGAAAGTTCTGGCACTGACATACTTTTTCCCTTTTTTCTTCTTTTTTTGAAGTTTAATTATTTCAACAGGAGGAGATTATCTTTATACTTTGTTGGTCAGTGTTTGCCCATGTCAAGAATGGCAGCCCCATTTTAATAGACTGGCAGCATTCTAAGGGCAGACAGGACTAGAAACAAGATCCGCGAACAGTGAATGGTTAATGTATTGTTTACAAACAATTATACTTTAAAAACAGTTTCTAACGGGAGATTGTACACCCAGCAGGAGAAGAAGAACAGAGAAACCAAAACATCAAATTGGTAAATGATGCATGCATGAAAAGTGTACCAGATTGGGCCATTCTTGTTTTATGATTGATTACTTCAATGTCAAGGGGAACATATACTGCCTTGAGAAGCTTTCTGAATCTTATGATGTCATATTCTTTTAAGAGACTAAATTCCCTGATACTGGGGAACTCACTCCCCCCTGGCATCAACTTTGTACCATGTGCTGTCCCAGAAGCTGGAACTGCCATTGCAGTTAGACATGATGACAGTATCCACTATGAACTCTGACTGCTCGCACTGTAACAATCACTATTGTAAAATACAAACTATCTGGATAGCTTGCCTAAAGTCACTCATAGCACATCATGGTGAAGATTGGAGGTTCATGTCTGACAACACTCCAATGTATCTAGCAGTAGGAGATTTCACTGTGAAACACCACATGTGGGATGCAGGTGAAAGCACCAGTGGCAAAAATTTACATTTTGTTCTCCGCAGTATACCCACCAAACTTACACTGCTGAACTCGGGCAAACCAACAAGAATTGGTGAGAGCCGAGGTGACGAGACTCCTGTTGACCTTGCTTTAGCTAACCCCACTTTCAGTGCTACCTCTGCCTGGCATAGGGGATGTAACATGTGCAGTGATCATCTCGTGAAGTGTGCAAGAATACTGGACGACAAAGTGGTGTAAAACAAAGGTGTCGAGAATGTACTTGCACCTTTAAGTAGCAAAGTTAAATCAACAGAAAAAGGAACATCTCATACTGGTGGAATACTGATAGAGTCAGAAATGTGTGGAATTAAGCTCGGCCCGACTTCATACACAATAAGGCAATACCCAGCCTTGGGAGAGGAGGTAAGAATTATATAGAATAGAGCCTATGCTCCATACAGGAGATCAGCTTCTTAAACACGTGATGAGTACTTCATTCTGATACTTTCACAAACTTCTGGCTAGCATAAGAACCAAAACTATAGGGACATTAGTCATTTACAATGATGATGGTATCCTATTCTGTACACGTGAAGACCAAAGTATGGCCTTCATGCACATTAACTAATGTAACCATGGTAACATGCAGGAGAGGCTTAAGCAATGGCCTGCATGATCTGAGTTACAACTACTTGCCAGTCTGAAAAACATTTTAGCTTAGATCTAATACACAGGGCCTTAAATATATCTATAAATAGAGCTCCAGGTCCTGATAGTGTAATAATCTTTACTTTTAAAAACCTTACAGAAGCCAACCTGTTGGAGTGTTAACACAGTTGTACAACATGTAACAAGCTTGAAATTTGGACTGATGCCTTTGTCAGATCCTTATCTAAACCTGTGAGGGATCTGTCATCTTACTGTCTTACAAAACATTGGCAGGCTTCCAGAGGAGATTGTTGCCTCCTGTGAGGCAACTACTATGTCATCATTAGATGGTTATCACAGTGGAAAAGAAACCTGGATCATTGCTCTACTGAATTTGCAGCTAACACACAAAAAGGCTTTGAATCATGTCAGAACAGTAGCTTTATATCTGAAAGATAGACATAAGTGTAAGATGACTTGTAGCCGCACCAGCTACCAAAAGATTCATCATGAAGCATGTATACTGACAATTAGATTGAATCACCATTAACACTGGTTTACCTCAAGGATCACCACTTTCACCAGTCTTCTTTGTCATGTGGATCTAGTCCATCTTGACATTCTAACCAGATGCCATGTGCTAGCTAGTCTTTGCTGATAACATTTTGATGTATGGTAGAAATTCTAACAAAGTTGACATTGATGACATAGAAAGCAAGATGCAACCATCCTATAGCAGGATGATCAACTGGTGAAGTGACGTAGAAATGGTCATGAGTCCTGCCAAAGCCATGTTTTGCACACTTAAAAACAGGGGTGCTGATGAAGACAAACCATCACCACCTTTTATGGGCACTGTTCTTGTGAAAGAAACACTGAAGTACCCGGACGTAACTTTTGGCAGACAACTTCACCAGCTACATTAACACCATGATAATCAGAGCTTTACTGAAGTCTTACCTGCTACATCTTGGATTATGCACTACTAATGATCAATAAGAGTACTACACAGCTAGATAGGATTGAAAAGATATATAACACCTGTTTCAGACCAATTATGAAATGTGCTTCAGCCACTTCCATTAACCCATGAGGTGTGTTACAAATGGTCTGACATTATTGGTTTAAAATTGATGATGGAATTTTCTGTTTTGTGTGAAACTTTACCAATTCCTTAATTGTACCTTCTTGGTGAATACATCACGTTAATTTGGCCAAAATGCAAAAACAACAACTTTATTGTACAGTAATGTTGAATGTAAGGACATGGGTCACTAGTGACCCAGGTCATGCATATGGTAAGATTTTTGCAAATTTTATCTGAAAAGATGTGGCATACAAAAATGTCATGAGGAACATAATGAGGACATATCAAAGAACGCCACTACTACTTTTAAATGCAAGAAACGTTCAGTGTGCCTTTCCTTTGAAGACAGGAAAATTAGCATACCACGTACAAAATACATCAGATCTATTTGCTCTACACACTCGTACACAACAAAAAGAGCAGTTTGTGTTAATGATTTATAGCTGTCATATCTGAAGAATTGCTGTGCACGTTTGATGATTGTACAGTATTTCTGGATATTCCTGTTGCTGATTTGTTATTGTGACTATCCTGCTTGGGTTTTGCTAAATTTACACATCCACATGGTCTGAATCATTTTTTACTTAAACATTTTTCATTAACATAAGTACAATCATGCATTTAAGGGTTAAAACATTATTATATCTTACAGGCCTCAGCAGCATTGTAGAATACCAATAGCACTTGCGAGCAAAATTCATCACTAGAGTCTTGTAGTGTAAAGACCATGTATTCCATCAGTGAACCACTGACCTTTTCAATTAAGACATTATAGTTTCACAATAATCTTCATAGACAACAGCTAAGCATGGGATTATCGGAAAGGTGCTGAGATAATTTGTCACCACCAAATCTCTGATTTCTCTAATTGGATTATCGGAAATGTGCTTCAACAGACAGTCATGGATGGAAAGGTGCTATACAACCACCACTGAGATAATTTGTCACCACCAAATCTCTGATTTCTCTAATTGGATTATCGGAAATGTGCTTCAACAGACAGTCATGGATGGAAAGGTGCTATACAACCACCACTGAGATAATTTGTCACCACCAAATCTCTGATTTCTCTAATTGGAATGAACATCTGATGCCACTGGGATCAGTGGAAATCAGCCTAGATGGGAAATGTAGAGATTGGGCAGAACGTAAAACAGAAAAACCTGTTGGTATCTATTTAAAGATCATTGTGGACAGTTATCTGACGTCATTGCCACAGACAGTGAGATAGCTGGTTGGACATTCGTCATCTCAGGAAGCAACAACATTCTGTATAATGTTGATGAAGCTTTCAAAATTCCTTCAAGCTTCACAAGGATAGAGCTGGAAGTGAGAAAGCAAGCTCTCATGTGGTTTGCTGAAAGCAACTGACTTATAGGCAGTACTGCCTAAAATTCAGTTGTTGGCTCCTATCTAGATGGCAGAAAGAAAATCATGTGGATGGTAAGACCATCACCTGAAGGTATGGGCCAAGCCATTTATGGGTAAAGCTAAACAATTAGGCTCACATGAGTGGCCATATTATTAAACATTTGGCATGATATCAAACTCCACTGTGCTAGTAAGATAAAAGTGATAACCAAATATCTTCATCAACATTTAAAGGGAATAAGATTCGTAAAAAAATGTTGTACCATATGGTGTAGCTAGGAAAAGTAAAAGATGGGAAATCAGTAAGACACAACACAACAAGGAGGCCTACTGATATATGTGCAAAATAGTATAAAGCTATGAATAGCAGCATTAATTTGGAGTGCCACGATTTCCATCACTTGGGACTAGCAGTTTTGGCATTGCACAGAAAGGAAATATGTGTTTTTAAAGTGTGTAGCTGGATTTTGTTTACTGTACTGCTTAGGAACTGATAGCATGTGACAAAAATTAAGTTACATTTTGTGCCTTTAAAGTATATGTACACGATGCCCCCCCCTCTCTGTTTCAAAGTTTGTGAAGGGATCGAAGGGCCTTTGTAATAATAGTATGCATTAATGAGAGTAAGTGAAACTTCAGAAATTTATGATTCCTTTTAGTTTATTCATCTGTTTGTTAATTTTTGTATTTTTTCTTTGTGAAAGAGTTACTTGGAGCTCGGATGAAACCTACAATAAAAGTCGTGGTTCATACAAGTTATGGTATTGAATAAAAAATGTTCAATACTAAAAATCAATGGTTTTCATCAGGGGCTCCTGGAAAATACTCCAATCACTCCCACACCCTGCAATTTTGTTAAGGATAAGCTGCACTGTTGTGTTTATCTCAGTTTTGCAAAAAGGAAACCACCAAAAAAAAATCTAAATTATCCTTTTTTTTATCTTTCTAGAATGAGTTCAAATTGTAACATGAAACTACATTTGTTTATCATAAATTGCTTTAAACTTGTAAGGTATACATCTGTTTATACTAAACTAGTATTGTTTTATTGTCCTTTCGACTGTGTCTAACTAATGTTCGTGCCATAAAATTTATAAATCACTTGACGAATGTGGAGCTCACATTACTCTTTCAAATTACATAACACGAGTTGCTAGCAAGTTGCTCATTAACATACCTCATGAAAAATTATTATTGTTCATTATTATTCCTAATTTAACCTAGTGTTTATCATTTTTACATTTTAGGTACTTTTATAATAACACATGCCTCGATTTTTGTTGTTGTTTTTTTCACTGTTGACTGTCAATAACAATTAACCCTACTTTTTTATACTAAGAATATTACTGCACTAAATTTTTTATTTAATTACATAATGCACCAAAGAACACAGAATAATCACATGCAAAAAGTAGACAATGTCCCATAACTATCCCAATTTTTCTGGATTTATATCTATGCCACAAGAGCCATTACAAATTCAGCTAAGTCAGTGTGTTTCCCCATGGGAATAAAGTTTGACCTGGAAATGAAAAAACAAACAACCTTGGCTTTCTATTGGTTATAAAGAATATAACATAATATTAAATGTTGGAGATAACTCCTGGGAATTTCTGAAAGAGAGGATGTGGTGGGTGGGCATGGCAAGAGGGCTTTTATTTTCTGTTTGATGGCTCTAACTGAATAAGCTTGAAGACTATGAAAAGTGTTTTGCTTGAGTAATGACAACATTATAATGAGTAATTTACATTAAATTTTGTATAATTTTTGGAGGGGTGGTAAATATATTAGAGAAGGGATACCTACAGAGAAAATGTAACAATTTTCATACCAAGGGAAATTCAGGATATTTTTTTAATATTGCCATATAAAATTAAGAACTTAAAACGTGTATATTATTAAAATTTGAATTATTTACTACATTCTTATGCCAAATTTGTTTGTATCCCATGATAAAAAAGTAGTTGAATTAAATTGTAAATGTAACTCACCAAAACCTCGTGACATGCACAGAAAAAGATGCCCGTAGCGAAAGTGTTAAAGAAGATGTAATACAGTTTATGAGTTGCAAGTGTGTTCATTATATACATATGAAATGATGTGTAACAATCTTTCGTAGAGTATGGGAACAAGTGGATCATCAGTTAAATCTGGTAAGAAAAGCAAAAGAAAATCAAAAGAAGATAAATCTGGAAAAAGCCAAGAAAATGGAGAAGATGGGGACAGCCCTCAACATGATTCAGATCCAGATGTAATTGAAAACCAAAAAGTAAGTGATTTATATAACTTTTTCAATATAGTAATACTGGGTGAAAACTTCAATATATTACACATTATTATTTAGCTTACACTTAGTTTGTCATGTTAAATATCTGTCTGCCTCGTATAATGGTCCAGGTTTTATGTTACTGTAGTAGCTTGTTAGTTATAATAATTAATCAATATAGAGTAAGCACTTGCAGCAACGAAGAGCTAAGTTAACATTAAAATCTTAAAATAATGCCTTGTATTTTCATTCATTCCTAGATGAAGACCAGAAATATGTGATCAAAATATATAACCATACAGTTTTTGCCTGTTAAGAACTCTGAACAGTTAATTGGTTTTGTATCCATCACATATCTAATAATGATGAAACAAACGTTATAAAGGATGAGAGTCTTCATTGTTGTTATGTCTTCATTGTTGCACTATTTAACCATGAAAAAAAAAGTCTAAGGTTTATTAGAACTATAGCAGAGAATTAGTAAAAAACAACAACATTTTTTTCAAATAAATAACATTTAAGTCAGTTTATTTAATACTCTGTGAAGATGGAACTAATGTGGCAGACAGTAGTGTTGAATTCACTTGGAGTGAGCTACCAAACTAAATTAACATATATGAAATATATTTTGGTGTTTCAATACTAGATAATCTTGTCAATAGTATATATTTTTTAAGTTTAGCCCTATGCTCCAAAACAGCAAAAGGGTTTGATATCTGTTAGTATGCATGTTTTGTTCTAGAACCTATGTCATTTACTGTCTTTCTTTCTCTATATCCCCACATAGATGTATTGCCTTGATTCTGCATACAATGTATCCCAGGGAAATCCCCAAGTTGTCTTGTGGTTATGTGTTGTTTTGATCACATAACTCATGTGACTGCAAGATATATTTAGCAGGATAACAGTTTTATTATAAATTTTTGGGTTTCTTTGACATTCACTGCTTTACCACAGTAGCTGTGTATTACTGTTTAGCCAGAATATACTTTCATGAATACAAGAGGTCTCCCTCCACTTTATTCCAATAAAATCAAAGCAGTGAACATCAGGGAATCCCAAAGTTTAATACTATGTAAGTATTGAATATTTCATACCTGTAAAGTGTTCTTTGCATGTTTGTATATCAAGATAAATAAATTCTGTAACTGAGAGAGCAATAGACCTAAAAATGTCTCACAGGCAATTTGGCTGTTAGGTAAGATGAATGAATATTACGACACGAAACAAAGGATTCTTCCTTTGAAATCGTAGGTAACCTGTTTTAGTGAACTTGAATACTGCAACATTATAATTAAAAAAAACATTTCATGGTGAAGGGATTAATTCAAAATGTGAGGGAAAAGTTGTTTTGATAAAAGTTTTAGGCAGGTTAAATTTGTCAAGAATTGTGTGACTGATATGAAATTTCAAATTTTTTAGTAAAGCTTATTAAAACATAGTATGTTATCAACTTGTTCATTAATGAAGATTGTGAAGTTAATGAATGTATAATTGTTATTGTGCAGGATGGTACTATAGATGATGCTGATTGGAGTGTTGATACTGATGCACATGCTGTTGCTGAGCGTATGGAGTCTCTTACGTCTGCAGCCAAGGGTCTCATGCTAAATGATGACTTGGAAAGAACTCAACAAGAACGAGTAGATATATTGTATGAATACGTGAGGGTACGGTGATAATGAGTTTATTTTAGTTTAAATTTTACGTTTGAGTATTTATTATTCAAAGTGTGGTTGAAGTATCACAAGAACCGGTAGGTATATTGTATGAATACATGTAGGTATGGTGATAATGAGTTTATTTTAGTGTTTATATTTTCACGTTTGAGCATTTATTATTCAAAGTGTGGTTTAAGTATCACAAGAACCAGTAGGTATATTGTATTAGTACATGTAGGTATGATAATAATGAGTTTATTTTAGTGTTTATATTTTCACGTTTGAGTATTTATTATTCAAAATGTGGTTGAAGTATCACAAGAACCAGTAGGTATATTGTATTAGTACATGTAGGTATGATAATAATGAGTTTATTTTAGTGTTTATATTTTCACGTTTGAGCATTTATTATTCAAAGTGTGGTTTAAGTATCACAAGAACCAGTAGGTATATTGTATTAGTACATGTAGG